ACACACACACACACACACACACACACACACACACACACACACACACACACACACACACACACAGACACAGCAGGCTGTCTGGGTCAGTCTTCAGTGTTCACCTCTGTGGGTAGTCAGGAGTCTCTGTGGAAAAATGTGTGTCAGCGTGTCAGCTTGCATTTGTTATATTCCCCCGACTGCTTTTTCAAACCTCCTCAGTTTGTTAACGTCATGTTAACGTGGTTTCTGTGCAGAAGCTCTTTCTATATTAAATCATTAATTAATGGTTGTGTTTGAAGTTATTTATATTTTTAAAGACTCCAAGTCAATTTATACGTTCACCTTACTGTACCTTTTTAGTTTGGTCACCTCGTACCCGTACGTTATGGCTACAAAATGCCATCTGTCTGCCTCGGTCTGCTTTGTACCCTCCTTGGCAGCCTCCCCAACATGGAAAATTGTAAAAATTTAAATTGAAAATATAAATATATATTTGAACTAGTTTTATAATAATAATTATCATTTGTTTTTAGACTTGGGCATTTAAGGCTCTAGCTGCAGTTCTGTCCTTGGGTGTCCTGAAAGGCGCTTTTTAAATAAAATGATGATTATTATTATTATTATTCAGTATATATTAGTTTAATGTTTGCCTAAAAACACAAACTGGTTACGTTGTGCTTTTGCTGCATTTCATACAAGCAGCACCTACTTTAATGTACAGTAGTTTCTCGTTTATCGTGGTGGATCTGTATCCTGAAGCCCCGCGATAAGTGAAAAACCACGAAGTAGGGATACAGTGGTCCACGTTCAAGTTTAAGTTCAAGTACAGTAAACTTTATATTAAGGCTTTAGAAACTCTTCCCACACTCTTGCAATGTTCTAAACTCTTAAACCTACGTCATTTTAACTACATATGTTACTAAATTTTACTTACTAGCTCTGCAGAACAGCAGTGGCTCGGTTCCGGTCCAACTCTGTTCGTTTCTGCAGACCTGTCCTGCAGCAATGCAGTCCACAAATCAGTCCTCTAAACTCTAAACCTACTAATTTTAACAACAAGCTACATATAAGTATATGAAGCTACTAAATTTTACTTGCCAGGCTCTGCAGTACAGGAGCGGCTCGGTTCCGGTCCGACCAGATAGATGAAAAAAGTCCCGGTGCTGCTGAAGCACACCGCTCCATCCAGCTTGGTGTGCGCGAGCTGCTGCCCAGGATTTAGTCCACCACCTCTGGCTCAGTCCGGACCAGCACTGCACGCCCAGAACCTGACTGAACCCCCCCAGCCGTCTGTCGTCTGCAGCTCCCAGGATCCGGGTCACACCGAGTCCAGATCAGCTGCAGCTACTCAGCAGTGAAGATACAACTTGAAGGACGAGTTCAGCTTCAGGATTATTTGTGACTTTCCTGCCACTGAGCAACAGAACTTACAGAACTTCTGACTTTGCTGCAAAACTTTCCCTCCATTTGCAGCAAGCAGCAGTTGGAAGCAGTGTTGACTTCTGGGAAGTGAAATGATGGATTCTGGGTAATGTAGTTCTTTAGAATGGCAAAAACAGTGAAGGCTTGATGAAAGAAAACTACAAAATGATGGTGCTTTTTTTTTTTTATATATATTATGTACATATACAGTAATGTACTTAAACAAACCGCGATAAAGCGAGTCCGCGAAAAACA